CCACACCCTGTGAAAAGTAAGTGATGACTGCCCCCCCCACATACACCTTGTGGCAAGTAAGTGATGACTGACGACCCCCCCACCCCGGTGACAAATGCGTGTTGACTGACCCCCTCCTCCGGCCACACTGGCCTGCTGTTGCCTGAGCCCCCACACAGCAGCTCCCTCGTCTCCTCCAGCCTCTACACTAGAGGCCGGGTGGCTGACCAGGGGACTGTTGCGGCTGTTGACGCTGTCACCACTGGACATGGGCATGCTGGACGGGATGGACATACCCGGGTTGCTGCTCTCCAAAGGCACAGTGCTATGATGGAAAGTTATAAAAGAGAGGGGAAGTCAGTGTAAAAATGAATAGGAAATAATAAGCTTCAGAAAGAAATTATAATTTTTTTTTTTAACTGCTGATAAAAGTATCAGCACTTAATCCTAGACAAGCTAGCACATGCAGCATAATACCTGCTTCTGAAAAAGGAAAAAAAGTTTGAAAATTCCAGCAACAAAGCCTGAGGCTAAGAAAAAAGTAGCCAGGATCATTACACCAACAGAAAAATCTGTTAAGATAACAGGCTCAAAATTCTAAATCCGAGATTTCTCAAAACAACCAAATTGCAACTCTTGCTTTTATCCTTATAGTCTTCATATATAGTAAAACCTGCTTTAACCGCCACCTGTCCAAAACCTTTACAAATGGCCACTTCCTACTTCCCCCTGTGCTTTTTTCTATGGTGTAATGACAACCTCCAAGACCGGATTTTCATCGCCAGTTCACACTGTAGCAGACATGATGTCCATGGTCAACCAATAGCACCATTTACATGACAGTAAAAGGCAAAAATTTTTAAAGAAATTATTTTATGCCCCCCTCACCACAATTAAGCTCATTTCAAAGACAGGCTGGTTATAAAAGAGAGGGGAAGTCAGTGTAAAAATGAATAGGAAATAATCAGCTTCAGAAAGTAGAGGTTTTTCGGCGCTCACAACTGCATAAGGTCATAGGAGCACCAAGGGGTGGATGTCAACAGAGAAGTCCTTACAGGGAATCAGACTTACTCTGCTCACCTCTCTGGCTTCAACAGCACAAAGTCTGCTTCGACTATCAAGGTACCCCGGAAATAGTGGGTCACAAGAGTGTGACAAACATACCAAAAAAAAAGAGGAAAATGACGATAGTAAGGATTAGGGGAAAAAAAGCAGCAGTTCCCTGTTGTAGATAAGGCACAGTTATGAGCATGGCATTGATGAATCAGCCCATTTACAATTCTACTGTGAATGAAAGAGAAATGTCCCCCCTTTGGGAATGGCCTAAAGACACTTCAGTCAGTGGCACAGCCCCAGGGGCAGACAGGCTGCTCAAGGTCAACCTGAGCTGAAAGGATAAAACACCCCAGTAGACAGACAGAGATACTCAACAAAGCATGCACACACAAAAAAAGCAAAAGCATTTACTACAAGGAGAATCATATCGTTAATCCGAACAGCCAAAAAAATATAATATCACATCTAAAGAACTAGCAAACATACGACGGAGAAATTCTTTGCTGCTCGTTCTGCTTCTGCTGTTGTTGTTGTTGTTGCTGTTGATGCTGCTGCTGTTGTTGCTGCTGTTGCTGCTGTGTAATTAGCTGCTGCTGCTGTATCTGTTGAATCTGCTGCATGGCGATGGGGTTGGCCTGCATGGTCATCTGCATGGCCAGGTGCAGCTGCTGGTCCAGGGTGAGCCCCTTGAAGCTCTCCTGCTCCTGCACTTGGTGTAACGCCTGCATCTGGAGTTGCCTGGACAAAACAGGAAGAAAAAAAAAAGTTTAACTATGACAAAAACTTCAGTGAATGTGTAAAACCACTAAAATAGTCATATTAACACTTTTAGTAGCTATGCCATAGTATGCGCTTGCACTCACTACCGCTGGCGACTTTAGTCGTCGACTCGACCAGGCACACTAAACATTATTAAACAAGGAATGGACGCACTGCACTGAAGTAAATACCAAAGGAAGTCACTCTAAATGAAAGCTGAATGGTTGATGAACCTCTCTGATCTTTTTAAGAGTAAGTAAGAGTTCAAACTCAAAAGGCGTGTCAAGCAATGGGCTGCCAAGGGTTTTTTCATTTTAAAACAAATGTACCACAGCTTCAGTGTTCTAAACTGGTGCAGTACCCAAGGGTTTTTCTCTATATGAGCCTTCGGTACTGTAAGCGTTAAGGGAATAATGCAACAAAGGTCAAACTAAAAGAAGGGAATGAAAAAAGTAAGAGTTAACATATGAGAATATAATTGGGGGGGGGGGAGAATGTAAAAGAGAGGTCAAAATACCAGAAAAAGTGCTAACAAGCGATGAAATCACACAGCCTACTGTATGAGCTGATCAATGGTGTCAGGTGCAAACCATCAAAATCTGAGATTTCCCTATTTCTTTTTATAACACCTTTGTTTCCATTATCATGTGTGCTGTCCTCAAACACATGTACAAAACCTGGTGACTTACTAGGCACACATTCTTTCTTCATTTACGAGATAAATTTTTCCTCCTGAAAAATAAAGTTGCATCCACGTAGCCGATTTGCACTCCAATCCATCGTTACCCCCCTTATTGCCTCTCTTATCCCAAACAACTTCTCTCCTTATAACAACAGCTTCTGCTTCCCGCCTGATCCTACCTGATGAGGAGAGTCTGCTTCAAGTACTCCTGTTGTAAGAGTAACTGCTGGTGGACCAGGGGGTCCTGCGCCCCGGGAATGCCCCCACTGACCAGCGTGGGCAAACCTCCGGCAGCCAGCGGCGAGATGAGGGGTGGAACATTCGGGATCATCTCTGTTGGGGCACTGGAGGTCTGTAAAGTGTACATTTGGTTGAGGGTATTTTGGTTTGGTTTGTTAGGGTGAAGAGCAGAACATCGACTGAATAAGAGCAGGGCTGCCTACCTCTATGTTCCCATTTCAGGTAAATTCTGGGTCACTTTCAGGTATTTTGGCCCAAAATCAGGTAGCACATAGACAAAGAAGGAAAAAAAAGGACGACAGTTGCCCCGGTACATATAGTAACCATCCAACGGGGCTTGTTTTTCTAGATATTTGGATAATTATATTTTGAAAACTTGATGAAAAGAGGCAAAATTTTGTTGTTTTGTTTTGTTGCTTTTGTGTTTTAAACATTTATGGACTATCGTTCAAGGCACCCATTATTCATTCAGTATTGAATGTGGTATTGAGAGCAGGGAGACTGTTAAACTAACTTCAAAACCCCTAGCCCATACCAATAGAACTATATTAAAACACACTTTCCAACATTAGAATAGGGCACTGATAAGTCCTGTATGACTTAGGTATGACAGACAATTTTAACTAGCTTTGCTCTAAAAATACAACATAAATCCTGATCTGGGCCTGTGTCGAGGCCAGAACATCAACTGCCAAAATTATGATTGGGTTTTGAAAAAGCATGCAAGACAAAACTTATTCAAAGAAAACAGTTACAGTTCGGCTCACAGCAGAGCAAAAAGTGACATTAGAAGAAAGCATGTACTAAGAGCTGGAGCTGAAAGGACAGTGAGAGCGTGGGATGTAATGATGGACTAAGCATTGATTTTTTTCTTCAAAACGCGCACTCTAATGATAACATTAGTTTCCAGATCTTATCCTCCATCCTCCAGTAACTTCAAATACATCTACACAAAAGATGTTTTTCTTTTTTTTTCCTCAAGCGTAGGCCCCCTTCAAGGTCTAGTGGGAGGGTCAGGGGCGAAGCCCGGAAAGAAATTGAAATTTAGAGCTTTCCAAGGTTTGAAAATGTCATTTCTTCATTGCCACTATTCAATTTGTCAAGAGCATCATTGACAATACGGCCTCTCCGGGAACAGCAACCTTGAAGATACAATCACCAAGCCAGTACTCTAATGTTCCCTCATTTACGCGCTCGATAGTCGAATATCAAAACCTAAGAGCACCACTTCCACTTTTTTTTTTCATATTAACATCAGTTTTTTGCACCGCGGGCCTTCTCCTGCTGCCGTAGATTGTATTCCGTCCAGCACCCCCACCCCCCACCCCTACCCGCCAAACCCAATTCTGAAGCCCTGCAACGCTCCTACTGTGAAAGAACTTTCATGACACCAACAACCACCAGTCTCGTCTTACTCATGCCGTACAGGAGGCTGTACTCACATAATGCGAACGCATGCAGGTTCACTGACCGGTCACAATGACGGGCCCCAACAACCTAGAAATCGGAGGACGCTTGTTTTCTTTTTCTTTCTTTTTTATTTTTTATTAGACAGCACAGTGAGAATATTGATTTTATTGTATGGCAACACTGTTTCTATTGAACAAACTGTATGTCACAACTGTAGACCTAACGTTAACAAACTTTCATCTGACTATTCTGGGCGGTAACGAAAGCGAAAGTAGATTTTCATTTTCCCCATGGAGTCTCGATATTACACCTACACTTGCGCCTGCCGCCATAGTGCTTATTCGCATGAAATGTACTCTCAGACTGGGGAAGGCTGAACGTAATCACAAACACGACCTGTAAAATATGACCTCAGTGGCCTTTTCGAATTTGGTTTCGAGGAATTTGTGCATTTTCTCTGTGGGAATTTACAGACTTTCTCAAATTCCAGTTGCATTCCTGGGTCCTGGCCATTTATATAAGCTAATACTAATACTGTCTCTCTCTCTCTCTGTCTCTTTTACGCACGGAGTTGATATGATGATGAAGTAAATACAGAACTGTCAGAATGTACGGATTTCCCCAAAAACTGGGAAGATTGGAAAGTGCAAACGGTTTTTTCTTCTTCTTCTACTTGCGGCATCCATCGCAAATCCAGTAGTTTTGACCCCTTTATCGGTATCGCGGTAGAACGGGCCCAAAATCGGCAACTACTGGAAAAATCGGTAGATTTAGGCAGCCCTGTAAGAATATTTTAATTTGAAACTGAGCAAAGACACGTTCATGTAGTTTTCTAAAGGGGAGCAATTTGTAAAAAAGAGAAAGAAAAGAAATAGGACCTATCAGAGGCACACAAACAGATAATAACCACGGACTATATCAGTATCATTAACTAATGGGCAACAGAGGCTACATTCCCTCATAGAGCAAAATACCACAACGGTAACGATTTTTAAAAAAACAACTAAGAATACACCATAGTGTAGCATCCTCCAAACACCTAAGCATTGATTGCAGAGGCACAAAAAAATAAAGACAGGGTGAAGAGATACTGACATTTCCTGGGAGGGAACTGCTGTTTCCTGAGTCATGATAGAATCTTTTCATAAGGTTATCAACAGAACCAGACAAACCGAATTCATTTCTCTGAAGAATGTAAACTGTATAGAGCTTGCTATTAATTATTATTATTACGCATGTACCAGATCACATGCAAACACAAAATTAAATGGACAAGACAACCGAAACAGGAAAAACTATCAGTTAGGGAAATTATAATCTCAAGACCTCATCATATAACTAAGGATGGCAAAATATACGTCCCCCCTCCCCCCATCTTTTCTACATTTGAAAATCCATTATTACAAAGTTTCAGATCTCCCTGATGTTCAATAACTGACTTCTTTTTAATTCATAGGACATTTTCAAAGATTTTAGCCCTGAATTCTTTACTTCATGAACGACAAAAAGCACATCAAATGACTTACCACCAAAGGGGGCAAAGGAGTGCCTGGGAGGAACGGCACACGTCCATATCGCTTTATAAGCTCCCCTGTGGAAAAAACACATCAGTCACATATGATTGATATACAATTGTGGAAAGTATGTTCTCAAAAATGCAGCATGAGATCACTGAATGCTTAAAATCTTAACAAAATATTTACAGAAACATCGATGAAAGTATACAAACACAGGTTTTGCAAGGACATAATACAGTATAACACGAATAGCTCGAATTCGTCAGGACCTGCTTCAGTAAAACGAGGGATCCGCAGATCGAGGGATATCTTACAAAGACGAAGAAAAAAAAAACGGAACTGCAGGCACAGTTCGACAGATGCCTGATTTCGAGTCTTCTGTGTTTGATCTATCCGAGCTAAACGGTATATTCCCCTCCCCCCCCCCAAAAAAAAAACCAACAAAAGAGAAAACAAGAGCCTTGTGATACTCACCTAGTTGTTTGAAGGAGTCATCACAGCCTCGCTTGACAATCAGGCTCATGGTGAAATAGCCAGCACTGAACCACTGGGCCATATCTTCATTGCTGAATGGGCCTGGAACACAAAAACAGGTTTTTCAATCTTACAATAATCTCATGGGCTAGGACAAGAGGATAAATGGAACCAGACAGAAGAGGAGATATCATCATCTGAACAACATCCCCTTTTATATCAGAAAAGGCAATGGAAGGTTGGTGGGTAGTGTCAGAGAATGGAGGAATTGTCATCTTAGTTCCCATTTTATATCAGCACAGCCAACAAAGAGTTGGTGGGTGGCATCAAATGATGGGTACCCGTGTAGCCAGTGAGCAGGCCAATTCCATTCGTTAAGTGCTATACTGACTTTCCGAGCAGAAAGGGTTATCTTTGACGGACAGGTTCAATGATTTTATGGCCAAGGCCTTTCTTGACTGAGCCTAGTATATAGTATTTGTTGTGATAAGAGCACAATGAAGCATTTGTATGCTGGGTAAGTTCAGCTCACAGATCAGCCATCGCTGATGGGATAAGTAGGACACTTAACTACAGTGACCACCAACAGAGTGTTTGTTCCTACGAGTTTGACAACTTGGTTTATTTTTTTTAATGAACAGAATGATATGCATTTGTTCCTATAATTTGATGACTTTCTTTAACAGGAATAAAGTGATTACGAAAAAGGACACAGAAAATGGCCTCCTCTTCACGCACTGACCACTCACCTTGTACCTCCCCCTGTGGATCTCTGTAGAACCACTTGTGGGCATTCTCGTGGGTGAGAGGCAGACCCTGCTCAGACACATCCCCGGGATCCTCTGTCTTGCTGTCCTGGAAGAGATTGTATTTTTCAGTAAAGAATAGCAAATCAACACAATAACGGTCATTCAAATAAAAAATAACAGTTATGGTTTCGCCCTGCTTTACAGATTCCGTTTTTCTCAAGGGCCTTGCTCAGTGCTCCCAATTTTCTGCCCCAAATGGCCCCCATTTTTTAGTTTCCTCCAGACCTCATATGCTGATCCGATGCCTGCCGCCTCATTGATGGTTCCCCCCCTCCCATGTTTTCGTTTTTCTCACTTTCTCCATTGTAAAAAAAAACTACATACATCCAGATCTATGTTGCGTTGCCTTTCGTGAAACCGTGCTGTAAAGATTACGCTTAACCCATGGGCTACGTATTTTTTTCGGGAGGGCGAAATGAGATGGTGACTAGTGCGCAGTTCATAAGTCTTTGATTTGGGGCCACAAATTCAAATAAATATCAACATATAAAACACCAAAATTTTCAGTATGGTTTGTAGAATACATGTTATGTTTATTTGTGTATTTTTCAACTTTGGTTCTAGTAAGAGGCGATTATGCCACACAATTTCGCTTTGATGCGGATAAAATTTGAGAATAAAAAATTTGTCATCTTTGGTGAAACTCAAAACATATGAATGCACCTAGTCAAACGATATATCAAAATAACCAAAAATGAATATAGAACTGGAAAATATTGAAAAATTTGCAGGTATTTACATATGATCATAACATCCGATATTGAAAAAAAATAATTTTTTTAATATTCTTGAAACAAGGACAAGATGCATTCACAAACAGAAAAAAACACTCATATCTTATATGGAATTCTTCAGAATAGAATTTGGAAACCTATAAAAGTCTTGAGCGGTACTTTTTGTATAATTTCACCAAAAATAGAGATTTGGGGAGAAAAAAATATTTTGACAATTTAGTTTTAGACCTAGATCTACCACTGAAATATATTGATTTCTCAATAACAGAGCACTGGCAGTTTGAGTCCAATAGTATTAATATTCTAAAGAAGAGTCCTACATTTCTTTAGTGAGCAAAATACTGATACATTTTGTTGTGTAAAAGTAGTAAGACTGGTGGCTGAGTTCTAATTTGGGCACCGCGATAAAACAAACTCGCATAAACTTCGAAATCGCGTTTCAAGTCTGAATCTACCCGGAAGTCAATGTTATATTATGACCTTTATTTTAACAGGGATATGAGGATTGGAAATGGGAGTATAATTGACAAAATTGTCGTCCCCAGGAGGAACTTTTACTTACAAAGTATACTTTTCCTTTTACAAATTTAGGCCTGGTTTAAGTTAAATAGTGGCTTTACTTGGTGTGTGAATCTCATTAATTTTTAAATTTTAGGCTCAGACAGGCCAAATTTTAGCTCTCCCCGACCCCCAACCAGAGCTTTGCCCTTGACCCACTTGGGGCCTCCTGCGGCCCCCAGACTCCCGCCAATTTTTCCTCCATTTAGGGATTTTGCTGTCGGAAGCACTGCTTGCTGTTACATTGTCACGGCTTTACGCCACTGTGATTGGTCAAGACAGAGGGTGTCCCACTCCATATCAATAAAGCGATCTTTCAGAGAGGTCTTCAGAGTGTCTTTCTATCTTTTTCAGGGGTAAAAATGTTCCACCTTCTACATAGCAATTCTGAGTACAAAATAGCTTTGTTGGGATTCATACAAAGTGTCCCGCCCATCTAAACACAATATTCTCAAGAGTGGTTTCAAAATGGAATATTCTGAAGTCGTATTTTTTTAAGAGTATCCAGAAATTTATAGACTGAAACCCAAAGTGAACTAAATCAAAGACATTATGTACTAAAACAGAAGGAAAAGGGGCAGTTGCCATAAACTGTGATACAAAAAAAGTTAAAAGTCCACACTTCTCGAACAAAATACTGGAATCGTATATAACGTTGACCAAAAGCAACAAGGGAGGCATACCAACTTTTCTTCAGAAACCAGTAACAGATTGGTATCATGCCTTGAACTTACTTTAAAATGATTTAAGTAGTAGCCTTTCGACTGAGGTTACGAGAAAAAACAATGAATGGTCGAGTGGGAGAACATTATAGTAGAAATCTATCCGTTTGAAAAATGTCAATTTTCCATTCCAGCAGCTTTGCCACGATGCGCCACATCATATGACATTGACTTACACATCACTTGTATGCCTTCCAAATCTTAGGGACAAATTGCCGCCTGTGTAAATGTTGCCTCTTTCTTTTTATTGTTAACATTTCTGCCAAGGCTCCACGTTACAGCTTGGCTTTTCCTGCCGTACTCCCTACTTACTGTGTCTGCTGCCATTTCTGCCACCAGGCTCTGCAACGATTTGTCCACGTGGGAGAAATTTTCTGCTTCTGACACAGTAGGCAGGCTCCTCTGTTGTGCCCGCCCCATGGCTTCCTGCCCAGCGCTGACCAGGTGAGTCTCCGGGCCATGAGAGACATTGTACTGGCCTGGTGGTGCTCTTGTTCCATTCACCTCTTCTTTGGTAGGAAAGGCAAAACCTGAATCACCGTCTCCTAAACACCAAAAAGGAAAAAAAAAGTTTGAACAACTCAATGTAGTCAATGTCATTTGAATTTTCTACATTAAACAATCCAAAAAATATTTTTTTAATACTTTACTTTTCCGATCCAGTACTTTACTTTTCCGACCCAGTTTTTTTTTTAAACTTCAAATAAAAGGGTCAACATACTGTCACTTGATCAAAAACTGAACTTTTTCACATGCTTAGGAATTTGACACATTCCTATTACACAAGGTGAACCAAGGCATCCCTTCATATTATGTATGTTTATTATCACAAAGGAAGGGTTTGGTTATGAGGACGAATCATTGTCATTTAGTTATGACGAAAAGTCAACATGCTTCTACTAATATTTTTAAAGAAGCTGTCACCCATTTCTATCTCTATGTGCCATTTTTACCATACATGCTCTTTCAAAAAATTAGTTTTCTTTATGTGACAATCTTAGAGGCTTAAATCCAGTTTTTCTTGACACTTCTTTTCCTGTATTACCTGTATTATCTGTCCTGGGCAACAACGTCATTGTACACCGGACTGGTCCATAAGTGCACAGTTCCCCCCAGCACCAAAGCCCACAAGGTATCCATACTAATTGTTCCGGTGACTGTCTGATTATGGCGACGTCTTTCCTTTCCAGATGATCGCTCCTTTCTTCCTTCTCCCCTCTCTATCCCCATTTCCCGCATCCTAATGATTGCGTGGTGTTCTTCTGTCTCCCTGTCTTCTCCAGGGTCTTCAACACTTCTTTGTCAAATTTCACCTCACCATCAACCACGGCACTGCCTGCCAGCCTAAACCCCACATAAATTTTTCCTCAAAGATCTTTATTTTTGACGCCTCTTACAAAGTACTTTTCTAGTCCCTGACCAACTTTTCTATGAAAGCATCCCCCCCCCCCCCCCCTTTTTTTTTTTAAATAATCATTTTCATGACACCTCCTGAGGAGTCTTTTCCATAACCCCTCTTGACATCTCTTTTTCTACACCTCTTCAAAGATCTTATTCCTTGACCCCTCATTAACTTTTCTTGAAAGGAACAAGATGAGAATGCCACACCAGCAGACAAACGTCTCACCTTTCTTGGAGTAGCCTGTGCGGGAAGGGAGTATGGGGACATCCACAGAGTCAGGCCCTCCCCTCTTGCTATCTGTCCGGGGATTCGGCGGAGCCTGTGGCGTCTCCTCGACCTGGGGATCCGGCTCCCCTCCTGACGACGATGTGGAGGCAAGGCCGTTGTGTGGTCGGGAGGAGGCGTACGAGGTCTTGCCCGGATCAGCTGGGCTACCTCGACCAGGCTTATTCCCAGGGTCATCTGAGGCTCTCTGGGCCGCCTCTCTTTTCTGATAAATTTGGAAAATTATTTTTCAGTAAAAGCAAAGTATGCTGGCGCCTCTAGGCAGTACTTTTGACACTTACATTTACTGCAACATTCAGGAAGTAATTATACTTTAATAAACTTCGCTATAAAGAACATATTTTTTGTCAAGAGAACATGTTATGTTGAGGTCCTATTTCTTCTTTATTCCATTCATCAACTCCTCAGTTCGACTCAATTTTTCTGAACATATATTCCTGAGAAGAGACAAAAATCAAAGAGTAAAATCTAAGAATTGTATTGAGTCATGAGGTAGAGTACAATAACCACATTTCATGAGATTCAAATTTTAAAAATGAATTGCAGAAACTGCACAAGAGGATAGTAAAATAAAAATATCAGAGCTTGCAGGGTTTAAATACCTTAGTATTTCCATTTGCACTGGATGGCTCTTGTCTAGGATCTCTGTGTCTATTCTGAAACAGAAAAAGAAATCATCAAAACATCATGTCAGCAACAACAGTGGTCTCATGAAAGTAGACTACCAAGTACAGCATTTCTAACGTTCAAAAAAATTGACTCACATTTTTTACTATTTTGGATCATTTTTTGCGTGTTTTTGTTTTTGTCTTTTTTTGTAAGTGCTTTACGGTGCTCACAACTGCATAAGGTCATATGAGCGCTCGGGACACATTAAACATTTTTCAGTTGGTAGGTAATTTTGAATTTTGCCCAGATGGTGGCCGTAGCCTACTCTTATCGATTTTAACCACCAAGGGATCTTTAACATGCGCAATTTGCACACAAGACCTCCGAGATTTTTCGCCCTTGTCCAAGAAGGCAAGGTGTAGATCTTTCCTACCAGAAGATCAGGGGTGTGGCTGAAAGACAGCAGTAAGAAGGAGCCAGGGAGTAGCAGTAGAAAGGCTGCAGAAAGAGTCAGGAGCCCATAGGAGGGAGCAAAGGAGGTGAGGGGGTGGGTTTGCTTAAGAGCAGGAAGAAAGGAGGTGAAAAGAGACAATTTTAGAGAAAAAAAATTTTCGGCGCTACCCGGATTCGAACCCGGGACCTTTGAAAGAGAGGCAGACCTTAACCTCTAGGCCATGAGAGCCCCCACTTTTTCCGTGGTATAAGGTATAAAAGTTGAAACTTAACAGAAAGCCATTCACTAGGAGTAAGCACTCTCTTCATGACATCTTTCATTAATTGGCTTCAACCCAAAAGGAAAGTATTTCACTCGCAATAAAAACAAAAGGCCACAACAAATTGAAAACATTCAAGGAAGTCAAAATGAAACCAAAGTCATGTTCACAAGTTTTGTATACCTTTTACAAGAGGGAAAACTAAATAAAAGAGTCTTAGATAACAAAAATGGGTACTGCTAATACACTTGATAAAAAGAATATATCATACCATTGATCACCAGAAAACTGACATTAACTCTTTTCCTGCCAGGCCAAAATCCACCACTGGCCCAGGGCTTTTCCCTGACCTATTTTTACACCTCTACTCCACCAAAGGAAAATGTCAAAGCATCCAACTAGACACACACACACCATATCATATGGCCCATCAAATTGAAGGTTAAAAAATAATCTATCAGATGGTGGTACAATATTGAAGATTTATTCCAATTAGATTAGTTTGGGGTTTCTTACAGTGATTAAGCAAAATCAAATGTGTCATATAAAATCAACAATTTTCCAAATTTGACAGTTCATGACTATAAAAGTATAACAACATCATTCAAACTTCCCAGGTAAAGTTGCCTCAAATAATGCAAAGAAATGCAGAAAGTTTTGTATGTGTACCTACTCTAGAAGTGAAAATATGAGACATAGCCTGAAGTCAGGGGAGCACTTTTCTTTTCATTTTTACGTTTCGAAAAAGCGCTGAAATGACTCAAAATAGGCTGTTAGTGCTATATTGTCTTTCATATCTGGTAACAGGAAGTCTTTTCTATAACTTCGAAAACATGGATCAGCCTAGAATTTCATGTCTTTTCATTATTGGATTGGAATAGATAGCGAGCTACTCAAGCTGTACTTTGCGGCTCTCGGTCCAGCGAGGCCACTTCAGCGAGCCGCATTTAAAGTGTTAAGCAGTCTTCTTTTCATTATTTTTTCCTGTCTATATTTTATCTTTTTTCTAATTCCAATGTGAACAACAGATTTATAGGTCAATATACCCGTGAGCATTTACCTCTTTTGTGGACACAAATACGCCCTTGGAGTCAAACGTGCCTGGATCATCTTCAATATCGTCTTCAACCCACTCCGGAACTTCTGAAGAGACATGATAAAAAATATCTAGAAGCTGTACTCAGGGTTTTATGAACATATAGCAATGTCAATAGTCCTTCTCTATGTACACTGCCTACTACTTTCGAAGTAACACATTCAACAGCGAATCAGGCTGAGATTTTAACATATGAGAGAAGAGTTTTTATTATTCTTATTAGCTGTGACTTAGAGTACAGCTGCAGTTTGCTTTTTTGGAGCATTTTTTTCTTCTTTTTTAATGGGGAAGGAGGGGGAGGGCAGGCACCAAGGGTAAATTTCCATTTCATTTTTGCCATTGGTTCAGTGTTCAGAGGAGCAATTCTCATCTTCATGCAGACTGCTGAAGGAACAGCGCTACAACTGACAAAACATGAGTTATATGTTATCTCTTTTATAAACGTCGACACCATGCCAGACAGTTTGAGCTGATGTGTTGAATTGGAATCCTTGTTCAGTCTTCATAGCTGCCAAGTTTTCAAAATTAAAAAACAGATTTTCATCGCGCAGTCGGCGAAAGAGACCAGTTCTTACTTCAAAAAGATACCAAAAGACAACTTGTACTCAAATGATAAGCACACCACAGACACATGCATGCTGTGCAGCCAGATTGATAAGATGGCAGGGGCATCCAATGGCAAAGATGTCTGGCTGGGATTCCCTAAGCTTTGTTATAACTCCATTGTTTTGTCCTATCATCACTGAAGCATTGTCTGAACTCAGAGAGATGCAGTGCATAAAGGGAACACCTAAGGTTTCTAATCCTGTCGATACAAGTTCTCCTATGTTAACACCACTTGACTGACCATTGTCATTGAGGACGTCGGCACACCTTGTTTGTAGAAAGCATGTTTGTGTTTGATAATTTCGATGCAGTGATGAAGTTGAATTCCTCTGAATACATGGCACAGAAGGTGTGTTCACGAGGTTTTGCCTTAGAACTGGTTGGTTTTAAAAACGCATCCATCACTTGAAAGCACAACACGCGTCCGTGATCAAAGAAATAGTTTTAGCTCCTGCATGCAATCATCACTAAGGCTGCCCGCAACACACACACGATGACCCGTGACCCGATGTGAATGAACGAGAAACAAAGAAGGCCCGTAGGCAGACCTGCCACTCTATGAAATCTAAAAATCAGGATTTTAGAGTTAAAAAATCAGGATCTAGAGTCTAGATCTAGTGAAAAAAATCCGGATCAACGGCAAATCAGTCATAAGGGGCACTGGGGAAAAGGGGGTGGGGGTGGTCCCGGTTCTTTATGAGGCGAGTATGCAAGACAAAGCTTTTTGAAAACTGAAAGACAGCATTATTATATGTTACTCGAATCAGAGTTTGATAGACTGGGGGAGCGCAGGTAGCACTAAAGCTGAAACTCTCGTAGTCTTGAAAATAGCTGACACATAACTCCTATTATCCAGGAAAAAAGTCCGTTTTTTCATACAGTAACAACGTTCGACTTATTGCATATACACTCAAGGTACCCCCCCCCCCCCCCCGAAAAAAGATCGCGCCAAGGTTGTTCATTTTTAGTCTGGATCACGGCACGCACTTTAAGCCCAAGTGTCAAAAAATTACCCCCCCCGGTTGTCCACACTGGTTAAGTCCCAGAAAACACCTCGATCATTGCGACCGGTGTGAATGAACTTTGTTGACCCCGACAACCGACGGTCCCCGACACACGCGCTACTCACCACACGTACGAGGTCAGCGAAAGTAGGTCTTGAGCGTATTTAAGTGGGAATTCAAAATTGATACTACTACTACGTCGATTTTAGTAGAAATAACGAGCGTGAGTCAACTACTAGATTCGGCATAGATCTAGATGCTTTAGAAAATAGCGTTCCAAGTTCCAGCCGATAAAAAGTCCAATCGGTGCTTCCAAGCAAAAGAGATTGCAGAACTTTTTATATTTTTTTCTAAGAATCGGACGCTACAGACAAAATAAATAAGGGTACTGGCGATCGAAATCGGGAAAATCGGGATGCTTGAGATTTGGGGGGGGGAAAAAAATTAAATCGGGATGAGTGGCAGGTCTGCGTAGGTTACTTCCCGCTTTAATAGTGCATGCTCAATAACATTAATAACAAAGAAATACAGAAGGGGCACAACTCGCGGAAGGAGGTCGACTTCCAGTTTAATTGCAGGGACACTACTCTCGTCGTCTTGTTGACTCCCGTACTTCGCCTATCCGGTCATAAATTTTCTAATTTTTCTTGCTTGAACTTGAAGCCAGTTTTGTACTGAAACTAAGAGGGGGAAAAGTTGAAAACGTACTTTCCGATGCCAAAACGGATTTCCGTACTCAAACCCAAAAATCGTACTAAATACGTTTTTTACGTACTACTTGGCAGCTATGAGTCTTAGTATTTCCAAGTAGTTAACATCTTTATAGCTTGTTCCTCCCCCCATATTTCAATGGATAAAGCTATCTCTTCATTTCTCTTTCTTTTGTAGACGTAATTTTATGGGAAGAGTGAGCTTTGTGACGATGAAACAAGACAAGGTAAGTTGTCTTTCTTACATCGTGTGAAAGAGTCTGAGCAGATACATTGTACCTGAGAACTTGTTCAATCTCAGCACTTTCAGTTTTCAGTTTACATTGTCATGGCTTGTTCTACACAGGTATTGTCAATGGATGAAGTTATCTCTTCATTTATCTTTCTATTGAAAATAGTTTTATCAGTCATAAGTATAAAAAGCAAACAACAGTGAAAACACTGAAATTTTTCTCAGCATGGTATACTATTAGCAGTCAAAAGTACAGTTTCCTCAACAACAAAAAATGACTCGAATATGTGAATCCTTACCATCATTATCAGCAGATTCACTGACACGCCGCGGCCCTCGAGAGTCATGGTCAAAACCTCTGCGTCCCACAGAAGGTCTACGATCATTATCATATCCTCCCTCCCGTGAATCACGCCAGCTTGACCTTGATGAAGGACCTGAAGAAAGTGGTCATTAAAACATTTGATTTTTCAATGCATTCTCTGAAAATAGCATGAATTATAAATATTTGGTCTCTATTAGTCTATTTTTTTTAAAATCAGATGGTGATGAGATTATATGATGACATTTTATAACGGAAAACAATTTCAAAAGCAATTTCACAACTAACTTTTTTAAAAGCATGAGAGTCATTCCAACAAAAACAAGAAAAAAAAAAATCCCACTACATTTCTATTTTTAATCAACGACTAAGATGTCAAATTAAAAAAAAAGATAAAATCTTCTTCTTCATCAAGTGTCAGAACTGAACAAACACCTGTGATCATATTTTGCCACTCATTTCTGTGCTAGATGCTCTGAAAAACTCTTTATCATCTTGATTTTTTTTCCTCTCACCAATCTGTTCCAGATCTCTAATCATGCTATTCTTGAACTGCCTTTGCCTCTTTCATCTTCCATTTTTCCATTGAGAGCTCGATGTCCAAGCTTTAAGTTAATTCAAGAGTCCCAGGACACGGCGTCACTTTTCGCCCGATTCTGTTACTTTTAGTTCGCGTGACTCAGCAGTCCGCCGGAGCTCCCCGGCTCGGGGTCACGGGGTTAATGAGCTCTGAAGCGACTTTGCCTGTGTTGATTAGGAAG